CCCATAAGGGCATTTCCCCCCCCCCCCCCCGCCTTCGCTGTAAGTAGCCAAGTAGGTCCCAGGCCCCCCGCTCTAACCACTAGTCCTCACTCCCCTCCCAGAACCAGGAAGAGAACCCGGGAGTCCTGGCCAGCGTTCGCTGGAAGCTGAGCATTTGTGCAGCCTCTCAGGAGAGATTCAAATGCTGCCCAGTGGATGAGCAGAGCATCCACCGCTGGCAGCAAGTGTTTCTACGGGTGGTGCACACCTGTCACACAGAACAAAAGTTATCCCACACAAGGCTGGGGAAAAAATGAACAAGAACATTAGTCCTGGCCCCCATGACTCCCATCTCTAACCCCTAGGCTCCACTTCCCCCGCAGAGCCAGGGAACAAACCCAGCAGTCCTGGCTTCCAGCCCCCCCCCTCTCTAAGTCCTGGCGAGCGTTCGCTGGAAGCTGAGCATTTGTGCAGCCTCTCAGGAGAGATTCAAATGCTGCCCAGTGGATGAGCAGAGCATCCACCGCTGGCAGCAAGTGTTTCTACGGGTGGTGCACACCTGTCACACAGAACAAAAGTTATCCCACACAAGGCTGGGGAAAAAATGAACAAGAACATTAGTCCTGGCCCCCATAACTCCCATCTCTAACCCCTAGGCTCCACCAGGGAACAAACCCAGCAGTCCTGGCTTCCAGCCCCCTCCATCTCTAACCACTAGCCCCCACTGCGCTCCCAGAGCCATGGAGAAGAGTCCTGCTTCCTGGCCCCCATTCTATCTGTTAGACTGAGGAGACTTTGTTTTGTCTTGCAGGTTGTGTTAATGCTCAGAGAGGTAAGGAAACTCCCACCCCTTCCTTCCCTGCACCCCAGCTCACTTCCCTCCCCACCTTGCCCTGTGCCTCAGCTCCCCCAGCCTGTCCCTGCTCTCCCCCGCCCCTTCTCCACCCCCCTCAGCTCACTACCCTCTGTCCACAGGCGTGTGCACAGGGTGTGCCGGGTGTGCCTAGCCCAGCCGTCCTTAGGCATACGCCGAGCACGCAGCTGCACAGGGCACCACTATTTGTGGGGCACCACTCTGCCGGGATGGACGGGAAGCAGTGGGGCATGTGTAAGCAGGGGCTAAACTACTGCTTGCTATCAGCCAGCTAAAAGGAGAGAGCTGCCCTGGGGGTGGATGAGCTCACTCCAATTGTTTAGCTCTGCTAGATATTTAACTGTTAACTGTTAATATGTAAATACAGCTCATGCCGGGGAGGGGGGAAGGGGAAGGAATCCGAGGTATGGTTATGTAAATCCAATTCAGCCAGGGCTGATGGAGGGTCAGTGTTGGAATGGAATGTGGTGTACAGGCAGTCCCCGACTTACGTCGGATCCGCACTTACAAATGGGGCTTTCTCGCCCCGGAGCTCACAGGCAGCGGTCAGCCACCTCGAGCTCCAGGGCGAGAAAAGCTGCTCCCGGTGCCTCTGGTCTGCTGGGGACCGTCTCCAGCAGACCAAGGACACCTGGAGCAAAGCCGCAGGCGCGGCGGGGGGGCCCCGC